AACTTGTTCTTAACAAATATACCTTTAATGTACTCGCTACAAATAACTCCGGACATTCTGTAAAATAATTGAACTCTAAAACTGGCTGCTGACGATTATAACTTGAGGTTTTAAGTATTTCTGTGATAAAAATTTTAATTTTTGAGGATTCTATACCATGAATATTTTGAATTTTAATCTTAGAAATAGTTTGGAGTCTCTGCCCCGTTGCCAATAATAATAACGATGCGAGTTTTTTTGTAATCATTTCCAAAGAAAGTGTATTAACGGGTATAATTTCTTTAGATATTCCAAGACTGGCAGGGGGTCCCATGTTGTCTTGTATTTTTGAAAGCATGGCTTAGCCCTATGACACACCCTTAAGAAATCTCTTTGCATCCCCATTACTGTAATTTAGAATTAATGATAATGCTGACCGATGATATTTAAAGTCGTATTTGATGCTTTGTTTAAAAAAAGGTCATTATGAAAAGCAATAATATTTCCAACATTTGCCTGGTAAATGTCTACCTAATACGCTGGCAAAACAACCACCATTTTTTATATGTTCCTGCGTATTGTTTAAAAGTCGCTTTACTTATTTACTCAATCAATATTGGTATCGCTGCGCCAGGAATGCCTCGTTTTAGAAGTGATCCCCGGATAATTTTCCTACTACTAGGGATAATTGTCTCCAAAGCGGATGGGGGTCCTGAAAGGTGATAATAATAAAAATTCATTTGACGGTAGAATTAATGTTTTTTTTGACGCAAAGTCTTAAAAATAATGGATACCAGTATTGAGTCTGCCAAAAACGCACAATTAAGATACCTTTTGCTTGATCTCTTATTATTTTATTGGGTACCCCAGTTTGGTTTGGCTAAATGTATCAGATGCTATAGCTTCCAGATCTTTACGCCATGAAATGAATTTTGTGCATTTGCTGTTTATATTACTTACAACTCAATAAAATATCCCAGGTAAAGGGTCCCAGGCAGTGACGTGGCTATCATAGGGCAATTCGGTGCAAAGCACGGGGCCTCAGGAATTTGGGTCCACACAGAGCCCGTACCAACCTTATTTATGATAAAGAATTTGTTTAAAAGTCGCTTTACTTATTTACTCAATCAATATTGGTACCGCTGCGTCAGGAATGCCTCGTTTTTTATTACCCCTATTGTATATTCTCTCAACCCACCCCCATAGCAAATATATATATACTGTTAGTCCGTATTTACGTAAAATGTAAATCAATGTATTTTTAAGTTTGGTTTATTCCATGAATTCATGTCCGTTCGAATAGAAGTGGCAACGGCGCTTCTGTACCTAAACCCCGTCCGAGGGTACGAGACGGGTAAAAATTACTTTTCACTTTGCTTTTGTTCCTTGGTGCAACCACCACGTTTTTTATTTGCGGTTCACTTAAATTTAGTATTATTCTTTAAATTAATATAGTTGTTATATTATACAAGTGCAGTTCATTTATTTATACAGTCCACATATATCAAGGTAACATTTGGTCCATTCGAGCCCGATTTGGTTCCGATTTGGTGAAGAATTTCCGCAGTCAAGGCGGCCATTAGTACGAGTTCAGGCCAACGCTGATAGTTCCAGTCCGGAAGTTAGTTCGAAGTAAGTCCGTTTTATGTTAGAGTCTAGATTTGGTCACTTATTTTGAATTAATATTGCGTTGGAGGTCTTTTTGAGTGTGTAGCTGAATTACATTATATATTTTATTTTTATCTTTTGACTCTTAGTTATATTTTAATATGGCGGATCTTTCAAAATTAAAATTAAGAAGGGGTACTATTAAGGGTCAGTTAACAAGAGCAAATTCATTTCTTGACAATGTCGACACTAGTAATTTGTCCGAAATTGACATTATACAGTTAAAAAGTCGGTTAGACATTGTTGAGCCTATTTTATCACAGTTTGAGGATGTTCAGTTAGATATAGAATCATTATTATTACTGTCAAAGGACGATGATAATGAGATAGACCAAATTGTACAGAATGAATGTCCAAACAGAACTAGTTTTGAACAAGATTATTTAACAGTCGTATCGAAATTTAAGTCAATTTTAAAAAATTATGAAGTAGACAGATAGTCTAGCGTTGAATCAAGAGCCAGTGGCGGCAATGTTGGTAATGCTAGTAATAGTTCACGACAAAAACTATAAAATTACCAGATATTAAATTACCAGTTTTTATTGGTTCATATAAACGATGGCTCGAATTTCGAGATGCCTTTCAAGCCATTGTGAATGAAAATGTTCATTTGTCAAATGTAGAAAAGTTTTATTATTTAAAATCGTTTCTGAAAGGTGAACCGTTACATGCTATTGTCAATTTACAGGTTACGAACGACAATTATATTAATACTTGGTCAATTTTAAAAGACATATATGAAAGCAAAAGACTAATAGTAGACAGTTATGTTAGGGACTTGTTTGAATGTCCTAAAGTAAATAAAGAATCTTATTCCGAATTACGGAAAGTTTATGACTTATTTAATAAAAGTTTGAGATCCCTAGAAAGTCTTGGGCAGAAAGTCAAGTGTTGGGATACACTTATTGTTTTCATGTTTGTTAATAAATTTGATCCTGTAACCCGACGTGAATGGGAGTCTTATGTAATAAGCGGCGAATTTCCCACATTTGATGACGTAAATAAGTTTTTAAAACGCAAATGCGAAATTTTAGAGAATCATCAAAAAGTGAAGTAAAAAAAAAGTCAGAAAAAATTAAATGTCATGCTGAGACAACACAGCAGAAATTCTCGTGTTATTTTTGTAGAAAAAATCACTCGGATTTATAAATGTTTCGCATTTAAAAACTTAAATAGTCAGTCGAGGCTCAATGCAATAAATAAATTAAAATTATGCGTAAATTGCTTTAGTCCTGAGCACACAACTAATTGTCCCAAACTTAGTTCATGTCGCGAATGTGGAAATAAACATAATTGTTGCACCTAAATGAGTCTACGGCCGAAACAACTAATAGGCCGGAAGTTTCATCCCTGTCGGCGCCAGCGGCTTCGTCACCATCAGGTACCAATCCCAAGAATTGTTTAGCCCTGTGTGCGGCGAGTACCGTTAGGGAATATCGATTAAGGGTCTAGTACATCGTTGCCAATATTGCCTACGGCTACGGTTCAAGTTTTTGGTTCCGACGGAAATATTTATTTAGCCCGAGCGTTGATTCATCCAGGGTCGCAGGGTAATTTTATTTCTGAAAGCTTGGTTTATAAACTTGGTCTCGAAAAACAGTCTGTTAATTTTGAAATCCGAGGTGTAGGTCAAACATTGTCTACTACATCTAGTTCTAAAGTAAATGTTACAGTCATGTCAAATGTAAATAATGAATTTAAAGAAAACATTCCGTGTTTAGTAATATCAAAAATAACCCAAGAACTACCGTCTGTTTGTTTTGACATATCTAGATGGAATATTCTCAGTAACTTGAAGTTAGCAGATAAAAAATTTAATGTACGCGGACCTGTAGATATTTTATTAGGTAATGATATTTTCTTTAGGATTTTGCTAAAACATTCCGTGTTTAGTAATATCAAAAATAACCCAAGAACTACCGTCTGTTTGTTTTGACATATCTAGATGGAATATTCCCAGTAACTTGAAGTTAGCAGATGAAAAATTTAATGTACGCGAACCTGTAGATATTTTATTATTTAATGATATTTTCTTTAGGATTTTGCTAATGAAACAGATTTGTAGTCCTGGTATGCCAGTTCTTCAGAAAACTAGATTAGGCTGGATTGTGAGTGGTAATTCCAATTCGTATAGTAGTAATCCTCCTACAAGTTTGTTGGCATGTCTTTCTGTAGAACAAAAGATTGAAGATACTTTAGCGAAATTCTGGGAATTAGAGGATTGTGAAGGGCATCACAAAATAATGTCAAAATCGGAACAGTATTGTGAAGATCATTTCAATAACATTCATTACTCGATTAAAGTCGATTCGTCGTTTAGAAAAATTACAAAACGTGTAATATTGTCCGTCACAAGTCAGATATTTGACCCACTAGGTTTACTGGGTCCTTTTGTAGTAGTTGGGAAGTTAATTCTACAAAGTCTTTGGCAGGAAAAATTATCGTGGGATCCGGTTCCACAATATCTTGCTGAAAGGTGATTAAAATTCTATAGCGATTTGCAAGTTCTAAACACAGTTAGTACACCTCGACATGTATTTGGCAATAATTGGGAGGTCTTGCAGATTCACGCTTTCGCAGACGCGTCAGAAAAGGCTTACGATGGTTGTGTCTACATGGTGTGTTTAACAACATCTGGGAAATATATTTCGTCTTATCTTATGGCATCCAAATCTCAGGTAGCTCCTCTGAAGAGGATAACTGTACGCGTTTAGAACTTTGCGCGGCCTATGTAACTGCCAAATTAGTAGAGAAGATTAAACAATCGATAAATATTCACATCGATAAATATTTCCATTGGATAGACTCAGCCATAACTTTATGTTGGATTCAGGGTTGTCCTATTCGTTGGAAAACATTCGTGGCTAACAGAGTCACACAAATTCAAAATTTGTCTGATCCTAAAACCTGGTATCACGTTCAGTCGGAAAATAATCCTGCAGATTGTCCATCCCGTGGCGTTTCCGCTTCATACTTACGTGATTTAGAACAGTGGTGGAAAGGTCCGATTTTATTATTTTCTAATCCAATCATAAACAGTCTTGTTGATTTTCCTAGCGACATTCCTGAACAAAAGCTGGTGACTCACGTAGCTTTGGTAAGCGAAGAATATCAGTTTGATTTCTGTCGATATCCGTCTCTACTAAAATACCAAAGAGTTATAGCTTTATGCTATCGATTTTTCCGGCGCCTCAAGTCAAAATGTGTCATCTCTGGTCCAATTCAACCTGAAGAACTTGAAAATGCGCTTATAGGTCTGATAAGAATAGCCCTAGGGCAGTCTTTTCCTAAAGAACTTAATACCTTATTAAAAGGAAAAAATGTGTCAAATTCTGCTAATATTTGTGTTTAAATCCATATGTAGATGAAGTTGGTATACTCAGAGTAGGAGGACGAATACAAAAGGCAAACCTTTTTGCAGAGCAGAAACATCCGATCATTCTGCATAATAAACATCCTTTAACCACATTAATTCTTAGACGCGAACATTTAAAATTATTACATTGTGGTCAACAGCAGTTATTATATTCAATTAGACAAAGATTTTGGCCTATTGCAGGTCGTAGTGTCTGTAGAACTATAGTAAGAAGTTGCGTAGTGTGTTTCAGGGCAAAACCAGTAGCACAATTTTATCAAATGGGAAATTTGCCGGAATGTCGTGTTACATCGTTTCAACCTGTTTTTGCTTATACTGGCATTGATTATGCTGGGCCAATATCTATACGAGATCGCAAAACGCGAAATCCAAAAATGTTAAAATCTTATATCGGAATATTTATCTGTATGAGCACTAAATGTGTACATTTAGATGTCGTTACCGACATGACAACAACCTCTTTTATTACTGCACTAAAACGGTTTATTGCAAGGCGAGGTAAGCCACGACACATTTACTCAGACAATGGTACTAATTTTGTCGGGGCTAACGCCATACTTTTTAACAAGTTAAAATCCAGTGCTGATGAAATATCCTCAACTTTGTCAGCTGAAGTAAAATCTTGGCATTTTAATCCGCCTAGAGCGCCTAATTTTGGAGGTTTGTGGGAAGCTGGGGTCAAGAGCATCAAATACCATCTGAAACGCGTTATAGGTGATTCGGCTCTTACTTATGAAGATCTTTGCACAGTATTAGTTCAAATTGAAGGGGCTCTGAACTCCCGACCATTATCTCCACTCTCATCGGACCCTCAAGATCCTACGCCGCTCACTCCAGGTCACTTCTTGGTGGGAAGACCATTAACAGCACTTCCAGAAGCAGACCATACTTCAATCCCGGAAGCACGACTTAAAAAATTCGAACATCTACAAGCCATGATCCAACATTTCTGGAAGCGATGGAATATAGAGTACATCTCCGAGTTGCAGTCCCGTCTAAAATGGAAAAAGTCGTTCTCAGAACTACTAAAAATTGGCAGTTTAGTAGTCATTAAGGAGGAAAATGTTCCAGTGAATAGATGGAAAACTGGGAGAATCATCCAGCTCCACCCTGGTCCAGACGGCGTAATCCGTCTAGTTAATGTGCAATGTGCCGATGGTGCGGTGTACAAACGTGCTATCACTAAACTGTGTGTTTTGCCATCTCAATGACTTATTTATATTTTAGTTTATTTTATTTTTTTTGTATATATTATTCAGTAATATTTTTTTGTTTGTTGAAATATATTATTTTATGGCGGCATATATTACGTATGTAAAATGTAAATCAATGTATTTTTAAGTTTGGTTTATTCCATGAATTTATGTCCGTTCGAATAGAAGTGGCAACGGCGCTTCTGTACCTAAATCCCGTTCGAGGGTGCGAGACGGGTAAAAATTACTTTTCACTTTGCTTTTGTTCCTTGGTGCAACCACCACGATTTTTATTTGCTGTTCACTTAAATTTAGTATTATTCTTTAAATTAATATAGTTGTTATATTATACAAGTGCAGTTCATTTATTTATACAATCCACATATATCAAGGTAACATATACAGTTACAGTGTAGTTAGACGATTAGTTCTTCAAAATCTCTTGAAAAAGGCCTAACAAGCCGAAACATATATGTAGAGTTAAAGTTACTCTTATTAAAAGTTTTTTGATACATCTAAAAGCGTGTTTTATTAAAATACTAATATTTCAACGATGTTTCAGAAGGAACCAACCACAGCTTCAGTACAATTTGATAAAGAATTTGTTAAATTAATAATAGATTAAATTCGTCATGATTTTATAAAATAAATCACACGCAAATAGGTACATACACAATTGTTTATTGTTTCTTAAAAAATATATATATTACTTATATTTAGTTTTTTACTCAGGGGTCCCAAAAAATATTTTGCACTGATGCCCCAGTTGTCAAGCTACGCCAGTGGTACCAGGTGGGACCCTCCACCGAGGCCAGTAGGCCCTATTGTGCCTAAAGTAAGGAACATATATGAATATGGATTATTACTGTCTATGGCCCATCTTTTAGGACCACGTTGTATGCCTGGGGAGCTATTCTTAACCTTGTTCGAAACTTTGCTTATACGCGTTACACGTCATACAATAAACCCATGTTGCTATACGTTGTATAGCTTTAAAGCTTTCTCGGAGGTACGAGTGATATATGAGGGTACGAGTGATCAAGAATAGGTACCCTGGTCTACTTGATAGTTACCTTGAGTTTGTCTAACAGTTTTTTTTCTTTGGTGGAGCAACATTTTCTGAAGCTGTTCTAGGTTTCTGGAGCTCCCCAGTGTCCTCAGTCAGGTGTAACTCCTCATCGTCATGGTCATCTGATTCATGTCCTTCGGCGACATTTTCTTCTTCATTAACTACCTTCTTCCTCATTAAAAATATATATTTATGCTAAAAGCAATCACTTAAAAATAGTTAATAATATACATAAAGACTAAAGTGGTTTTTATTCTAAAGTAAGCAAAAAGATCTTTCAAATTATTTTTACATATTTTATCTTGCGATTTGGAGAAAGAATTTGAAAAAAATTTAGCTTACCAATGTTATTATTCATCCCCAACTACAACTACTGACACAGTTCCACTACAACAAGGAAATATACCAGACATCTCGGCACACTTTTTTTCCGTTTCGTTCAGCGACTTTGTTGTCCTAATCTTTAATTTAATATGGCTTTTAAATTTAGTGAATGCCTAAAATTAATACTTCAGATCAGTTGAACAAAATATTATTCACATGATATTCTTCAGCTAATTTTTTTTACTGCACCTTTTTCCAACCATCAGCACTCTTCTCCACTCCCCAAATTGCATCTAGCTTAACCGCTATTTCCTCCCATGCTAGTTTTTTTACTTCGGGGGTGCACCTTTTCCCCATCAATACAGTCGTTCTCAGACACTAGGTCTGAGAACTGTCCGCTATTTGCTTTTTTTGGTGGCATCTAAATAAAGATAAAACATGCATTTTTTTTACTGATATAAAAGTAATTCTGTGATTTTTTTGCTAGGTCCTGCTCCTACTCCTTATACAGAAAACACAACATGCTCAAAGCTCAACCCATAGTATCATCAAAGTTTATGTTAGAATGGAATTTAATAAATAATTCTTATATATTCGTGATCCTCATGATTCTTAATAATAACCATTAATAGACGAAAATTGATCATGAGTAGGGGAGAGGCGGGAGGTTCGGGACGTTTTTTTTAAGGGCGGAGTTTTAATGTATTATATTCAATTATGAACCTGAAAGTCTGGCATATAAAAACAAAGCTATTTGTTAACTTAAATCAAACTTTATTCTTACAAAAAAATAAACATTTTTTTAAACAACGTTTAAAAAAAATATAAATGTCCCAATGATCCCTAAGAGAGAGAGAGAGAGAGAGAGGTTTGGATCACCCTCTTGGGAGGTTTGGTACATTAATCAAAGTTAACGAACATTATCAAAGTCATTCAAGTTTTCGCGAAAATGTAAGTATTTACTGTTCCTTTTGCTTGATCGTTTGCAAATGGGTTCATTTAACTTTCCAACAACGCGCTCTATTGATATCTCGTATATGTTCTCTTCGACAGGAAAATAAAATTAAGATATAAAATAACACAAATAAAAAAATAAAGATATTTTAATTTTGTTGTGGGTGGAACTTATAGCATCTAAAAAACTTTCACAGTATAATGTACACACAATTCTTTTTTCCCTTCCACTTCTAACTTGACTAAAAGATATTCCGCTGTACAGAACTTCCTGTCTTTAGTATTAATTTTAGGCAAATCTAACTCTTCGTCACTGGTAAATTCTAAGTCTGAGCTGCTGTCTTTGCAAAGGTCTGTTTCGTTAAAGCATTCGTCGTCGGAAGAACTCTCGTTAGCTTTTCTTTTTATTCCGAATCCTAACTTAAGTTTTTTATAGTGCCCCTCTTGCCTTTTAGTTCTTTTTTGCGTTTCCTAGCTGATTTTTGTTCCTCTATTTCATTTTTCTCTGGTGTTTCTGTTTTCTTGTTTTCATTTCAAGAATTCTTGTTTTTCCTTGTTTCCGACCCGTGTTTTTTTTAATGCGTGGTGCTGCTTTTGGATATGGCAGAATTATTTAAGGGATTATAATATTATAATTATCATCTTTCCATAAGGCGACTTCTGTGTCCATATCAGTCGATTTAGTCGATGAAGAGGGCATCTCGCTATCTATAACATTAGTCGATGAAGACGGTATCTCGCGATCTGTAACATATGATCCCAAAAACTCGACATCTGTAAATGTATTTTCGTTAAAGGGGTAACGCTGGTTATGAGGAAATGCCTTCCCCATTGCTGCGTTTGAAAGTTCAGGTATGTCATATATTTATATTAATTTGCCTGGGTGTCTAAGCATTGACGCTGCTGTATTGAAGTACGTTTTAAATGGCCCGTAAACACTTACATCAAGGGGCTGTAATTTGTGGCTTGTGTGCGGTGGTAACGTAAGCAAAATTACATTATTCTCTCTTGCTAAATTTATTAGGTCTATTTGGATGTCACTGTCATGGTTATCGAAAATTTCTAATATGTGCCGATCTTTGGAAGGCTTGGCGTATTGCAGAAAGTGTTTAAAAAAGGCTAAAAAGTTTTCTTCGGTCATCCAACCACTGGGATGAGCCGCACCCTTACAGCAAATGGGACCACCTAAAACAAAGTATTAGTATTACCAAAGTTTAAAATAGTGTTTTAACTTAACCCTTTAACATAATCTCTCGAGAGTTAACCATTGGAAATATGTATGTATTTTGGTTTATGAACAGTCCCGTTTCGTCGATATTCCAAATATCATCTGGTCTAATCAACTTTTCCTCCATTATAGTTTTTAAATGTTTGTAGAACTGATCAGCATTGGTTTTGTTGAAACTAGTTGACCTGCTTAAACTGGTGGCCTCTGGTTTCCTCAGTGATATATTGGGGTTTCGGGTATAAAATCCTCGTAGCCAATCTATTGATGCGCTCTTACTTTTATCCCAGGCTTTTGGGTAAACAATTTTATTACATTTTGCAAAACTGTATGCCAATTTAAGAGCTGCTTTCCTGTTTAATCCATAGTGTAATTTGGACGCCTGAACGGATTTTTTGACAAAATTTATCGACATCAAAAGATTCATCCGATATTCTTTCGAATCAAAATTAACACGAGTCAAATATATTGGTATATTTGACTATAATAGTATTCCTAGATTTAAGTTATAAAGTACAATATAAAATAACTTCTTTCCAAAAAAATCCTTTATGGGTATTTCGCCTTTGCTATAGTCAAATATACCAATATATTTGACTCGTGTTAATTTTGATTCGAAAGAAGATCGGATGAATCTTTTGATGTCGATAAATTTTGTCAAAAAATCCGTTTTACAGCAGGCATTTTTGAAACCAAGTCGGTAAGTATCTTTTGTTTCCTCTATCAGAGTGTCTAGTTTGAGGTATTGATAAATCAAACTTCGGCCTTAAAAAATCGAAAGACAAAAACTCGCTGTCTGTGTGCCTTTTTTTATAAAACATGGTTTTCGACCCCTTTCTAAACTCCACTATTTTTACATCCCTCTTTAAACTGATAAAACTCATTGCAGTTTAGTAATAAAGTTTTATTTTGTCGAGAAGTTTGAAGTATTAATTCATTTAAATCGGGAATATCATAAATATTATTTATTTTCTTCCATGCTTTACCAATTTGTCCATATACTGTGTCAGCCTTCATAAAGGTATGTCCAGCTTCGAAATATTTTAGTGTTATCGATGTTGGGCCCCATTCGGCATTAACAATGCATGTTAGTGCTGCGTATAACTTCCAGTTTTTATTTTCCGCGTTACAGTTTAATGTCAGCAGACGTACGTTGTATCACCGCACAGTAGCTGGAAGCAACATCTTCAGCGTTTCGGTCACTAATACACTCGTGCCACAAAACGCAGATATTCTCAAATGGCTTGTTTAGAGCTGCAAATCACTCATTAGACCACCCACGCGATGTTACTAGCGATGGTCAAAAATTTTATTTTTAGATAACAGTCGAAACTGTTATCGTTATTTTTAATAAACAGCTTAAAATAACAGCTTAAAAATAACAGTTTTCTTTATTTTATTGCTAAATATCTGAAAGGGTATGAGGCGGTCACCGCCAGGCGTATTAACGCAGTTGCAAGTTGCAACAATGACGTGCTCGGTGGTCGAATTTCCAGGGTGTCAAAACATTTCTAAATATCGATTGTTATCTAAAATACTTCTCTAAAAACGGTGGTTGTTTACAAATAACCGATGTTTACAAATTGCGATATAAAAAAATCTAAAATGCCGCCACTCGTCTATACCTATACATTCCGATCTACCTACGATTAAATTCATAAAGATCTTCATTATATTTTTATAATACTAAAATATCAAAAGATAATTAAAGATTTGTTGTTTTTTGCATCTCAAAGTTGTTGAATATGTTTACTTATGTCCCCGGATTGTCTTTATAAGAGGAACAACTTTTTTATTGTTGACATTTTGAGAAAAACGCGTTCTTCGAAATCGAAATTATGTTACCATAGAAACGCCTTTTTATTTTTAGAACTTAGAAAAAATTCAACCACCATCACAACCATTTGGGAAAAGTATAAACAGGATTAACCATAGAACAAGCAAAAATTTTTATGAATACATTTTTCTCAAAATGACAATAATAAAAAAGTTTGTGTCCTCTTATAAAGACAATCCGGGGACATACTGTATAAACAAGGGTAATATCTAATTATAGTATTTCAAAAGATTAATTTTTCTTAGTGCGATTCCAAATAATTTGAAGTCTGTATAATTTAACCTTTACATGTTTTAGTAGTTGAAAAGTAATATCTTTATTTAGTGTATTTTTAGTATCTATTGTTTGTTGTATCATTATCTCTAGATAGTAAATTTGTTTTTGTGATATTATACTCAATGTGTTTGCTACCTTTTAAACAGACATTTCTTAACATAGTGTTTTTATTCTTATCACCATCTATAACAGTAATAGTGTTAGACAGTGGTGAAAAATACCGATGGTAATATATTTTATATGATTATAAAAAAAAATTATTACTTTGCAACTATTGTAATAATTTAACGCTGGGAAAATTTTTCTCAAAAAAACTCAAAAAAATTTTCTAAAGCATTTCTTTAGAAAAATAATACTACTAAATAATTAATTAAATTGTTATTTCCATTTTTTATTACGTACTTCTCATTATTATAATTTATAATAAATAAATTAATCACAAAATTTCTAAGCACCATTCACAATTTCTTAAAGTGAATCTTAGTAAAATTGTCTTTGAAGAGTTTTAAAATGTAAAAACAATGAAAGTATATATTTAAAGATATTAATAAAAATAACTAAGTAACTGAAACTTAATAACTAAGTATTGAAACATACAGCGCCATAATATCTCGACCTCCGCCCGTTATACTCGTAACAGGTTGAAAAACAATGTATCTAAAACAACTGATGCGTTATTCTCCAACCTGTTTCGAACCTTCATCGACAGTCGACAGATGCAGCAGCGTTCCTTTCCCACTCCGATTATCTCGACCGCCGCCTGTTATGCTCGTAACAGGTTAAAAACAACGTATCTAAAATGACTGCTTATTTTCTATAAGTTATTCTCCAACCCGTTGCGAGCCTCCATCGACAATCGACCGATGCAGCAGCGTTCCTTTCCCACTCGTGTTATCTCGATCGCCAGGCGTTATGCCCGCAACTGTTTCAAAAAAGCTGCTCCTTTTATATCCTATTATTTTTAAGGCGGCCGCACATTTCCTACTATCGGATCCGACTATCTGAAACGATTTTGAATCGGACGACTACCGCACTCTGCCGACAAAATATTTCCGTTTTATATTTTTTTATAACTAATTAATAATAAAAGAAGCCTGCACTGAGCAACTCACGCATCAAAACTGACAAAAATAATCGTATGTTTGCCGTACAATATACAAAAACAATGCATAGAACACCTTCCGGCTGTCGGATCAGATTTTTTGTCGGTCCGACCAGTACGACGCACTGCCAAGCATCCGACTCGGACGTCCGATCCGATATCGGATCGTAAGTGTGCGATATAGTTAAATAACCTATAGTATATTTGAGCGTCAGATAATCGGATCCGATAATCGTTTCAGACAATCGTATCGAATAGTAGGAAATGTGCGGCCACCTTTAAGCTGTTGCACGCCCAACACGACCATCGACGGCATCGACCGATGCAGCTGCGTTCGCCGTAGCGCATTCCCCACTCCGTTGTCCGTTGTATCTCGCCGCCTGTATCGATGGTTGTCGAAATAACATGTTTTCCATCCATACTAGTTTTTTGGAATTGCTTCGAGCAGCATAGAATTTCGTGGCGGTTCAGAGCGCCGACTTCGTTTCACGAGCGGTCGATCTCTACGTGTCGTTATTTTATATCTGTTATTTTTTAGAAGTAGTAACGGTTGCGATATGTTATTTATAAATAATTGTTATAAAATAACAGATAGTTAAATAACAACCCATCACTAGATGTTACGCATTCAGCTGATTAAATGCAACTGGTTGACACCAATATTCAAATGGAATAACGTAGCAAGTCTATCTAACGGTAATTTTTCCCGCCAAATAAGTAGTGCAGAAGGAACTTAAATTGGAAAAACATTGTAGAACAATATAAGTAAAATAAAAAAATAATTATTGGTTGTTGTCACATGTGGAAAAAGCTAGTAAAGGGAAATTAAAACAAGGAAGAAGTTTTTGTTAAACACTTCCGGATTTCTTTTCAAACAAACATGTTTAAAAACAATGGATATTTCCAGAGAATAAGATGTCAATACTATACTGCCATGATGATGAAAAACGCTTTAACTACAATTGAAATTCAAGTGTGTAATTAAAAAGATAAAGATATTTTCCAACTAAATGAGAATCAAAAACACCTTCCCTTGTTTTTTTTGGAATTATAATGAAATTAAGTTTCACCGCAAGTGTAAATCTGGCGTTTATAGTTTTTATTATATAAAGTGCCCAATTTTCAAGTATTAACAAACTAGAACTTAACTTATTCACCACTTCAGATAAGGGATTTTTCGTTAACACGTAGCAGTATATGTATAAAATTTAAAATGTGTCTTATGTAGTTTGCTGGTGGTCGAATTATGATGTGCAACGAAAGTTATTTTAATTTCCCTATAGAATATTTTATACCGTTTTCCCTCTGTAAATATTTTATTTATCGTATGGCTGCACATGACATAGAATGCATAAAAGTGTATAAAAACTATTCCAATTCACAAACAAACATTTAAATTGTATATATAGTCAATTTAGGCGTCAGTTGCCATCAGGAAGTCGTCAAAGTTTCCCTCATATGCTGTATTTGGGCATTCCATCACCATATGTAGAATGGTTTGTTTTTCCGCTCCGCAGTCACACCTCGCAGATTGCGCCCTACCCCATTTGTGTAATGAGTCCGCGCATATGCCATGGTTGGTGCGTATTCTGTTCAGTGATGTCCATATTTTACGGTGCTATTCGAAGGCAGGAGGTTTCATTCTTATGCAAAGAAGATTTCTGCCTTGCGGGGGGCGGTTGTCTGTCCATTTTCGTTCCCAAGAGTCTATGGGGTCAAACTGTGACGTGTGCCGTTCTCTTGCAGTTCTTATAGGTGGTGTTCTGGATCGTAATCTGTTTCTGCATGCTTTATCCGTATCCTGGTGTATGGGAAGTTGAGGGTTGCTTTGTATACGTTTATATTCTCGGAGAAGCGCTGCCTTGCGCTGGAAATCTGGAGGAGGTATATGGCTCAATATTGGTAGCCAATCGGTAGGAGTCGATTTTAGCGTTCCGCTGATTATCATCATGGTCTCATTTAGTTGTGTGTCTACCTTTTGGGTATGCGCACTGTTGAGCCAGATCGGTGCGCCGTATTCTGCAGTTGAGTAAGCTAGCCCAAGTGCTGAGGTTCTTAGTGTATCAGCGGTAGAGCCCCATGAGGTACCGCATAGTTTATGAAGGATGTTGTTCCTCTTATAGGTCAGTGTCCTATCTAGGGTGACACCAAGATATTTCGGGTGTGTATTGTGGCGCAGTAATGCATCCTCGAAGTAAACCTGGAGCTGTCT